GCATGGAAAAAAAGAACACAAAACAAAGCCCTCAAGCAAATGAAGATTTGAACTGTAGGAAAAGAACAGGAGTGGATGCAGGGACAGTGTCATTGGAGCGCTGAGCAAAGGTGTGTGAAGCTGAGTGAAGCGCCTCCCCACGAGGCAGCTGGTCCCAGGATAGGCCAGACCCAGGCTGTGGGAGGAATATGGGGAGCACTGTGTGCTGCCTTCAGCAAAGTGTTGAATCGGCTGGTGTCGATGTGCTGACTGGAAAGGCATGGCTGGGGAGAAAGGACAGAATCGTGCATCGCTGAAAGATGCAGCAAGAGAGGTGAGAAAAGGAAATTGTACTGCTGTCGGCTTTTTAGAGATAAGAGTGCAGCTAAAGTAACTGAACTTGCCAATAGAGTGTGGGTCTGAGATCAGAGAGAAAGCAATTTCAGAGCAAAAATGCAAAAGTGACTGTGGTAATTAGGAGTGTTTACAGACAAATTTGGCCAAATATCAGACCCCGTTACAGCACTTGCTGGGACAAGGATTATAGGAGCAGAGCTGAAGCAGTACGAGTTGAATGTTGAGCCATGGAATCATGTGCTGTCCAGACCTGTGCTGTAAGATTAGTTGCTGAAGCGAGCACTGAATGACACAAGCTGCTCATCATTGGGCTGGAATTCTAAGAAAGCCTCCTCTGTCTCATCACTGACTGTGGAACATCTTGGGATGTTATGGCATAATAATAAATAACATTGATGCAAGACGTGCAGCTCCAGTGAATGTAAACTTGAGCAGCTGGCATCATGTGGATAGCAGCGTCAGATATAAGACTACACACATTCTTTTTCCCCTCACTGCTCTGCTGTTGGCTTTTTCATGTGCAAGCACATAGCTGATGCAATGCAGGAATTGTGTGGTTCAGCAGTGGGGCACCAGCAAGCTAGGTGTCACTGATGGCACAACTTCTCTCTGCTCATGTGAGGAGACACTGAAAGGTTGCTTGGTATAGAGAATAAAGTTGGTGTTAATGATAATTTATGAGAAGAACAGATCTAGTAAGAATCCCAGCTAAAGCACAGTGTTAGAAAGTGGAGGAACATAGAAGTGACTTGGTTCTTGTTCCCTAGAAATAACAAACACTGCAAGGAAGTATTCAGAGTGGAATTATGGACTGGCAGTGTACCAGCTGTATTCAGCAAAGTCTGGTTATTGAAAAACTACAGCTTGAAGGTCAAACTCAGATCCTGAACTGTTCTTTCTGTCTTAACATATGAATGTTGTAGAAATATGCTGGAGCTATAGACAGGCTTGTCAGCATCTTCCAGAGCAATGCTTCAGAAATAAGACCAAGTGTTAAATAAAATGACGTACTTTGGCATTTTTCACATGACTGAAGTATAAATCCTTACCTCTACTGTTATCCACAAAAGGTGGAAGTATCTGAGACTTGGGTTGGAATGAAGTAGTTGATGGAGAGAATCCCTTTGATCAGCAGTGAGTGGCCGTGCCTGGGTTGGGAGGCATCGAGGACTGGGCTGGGTTAGTTCTCACTGCCCCTGCTCTGCAGAGAGTTGGTGTCTCTCCATTCCTGTATTCTGTGGTTGCAGCCCTGCTGGGAATGATTTACATTCCTCTCCAAGGTCTAACTTGACTGTTGGCACTTCTCAGCGTGCTCCTAAGCTTCCTGACTCCTAACCAGGATCTCACTTAGGGGAGTCATTTTCTTCTTTCTCACTTAGTTCTCAGCTCATCCTGATACGCAGATTTGTGTTCTTCCTGGTGATTACTAGTGCTTTCGTTTGAACAACTTCAGGCTTACTTGACACAGATGTGCATGTGCATGCGATGGTGCTTTGACAGTGTGGTAACTGGGTTCGGGATAAGTTTTTAGTGTCAGGTAGGTACTGGGCCAGCTCCTTCACTCAGACTGTCTCAAGGCACATTAAGGCACCAGATCAGAGGCAGAGAGAAAAGGTGGGTCAGATAAACTGCAATGTTTTCCACAATCATTAGCCAGACCAAAAGTTATGGTCACCATGAATTCTGTGTAGCAGAGGACCTGTGCAGTCCAGCCCAGCATGCAGTGCAGTTGGCTGTGTGTTGTGATGCAAAGCAATGAATTAAATGTGGTCCATTGAGTCCAGATTGAATTTAAGCATCCAGCGCTGGACTCAAGTCAGGTCTCAGGCTGAAACGTATGAAAAGGTGAACCAAGGCCCCAGATTAATGTGAGCTAAAGTGGCTCATGCAGTATTTACAGGAGACAGGCTTTGAAATTCATGTACTTCTGCCACTGATTTCTTTGGGTTTTGTTATGCCCAAACTATTCAAGTCTGGGGTGAATGAGAGGGACATATGACAGGGATTTAGGCACATACCTCCTTGCCTTTGGTTGCCTGGAGCACAGCCTAGTGCAGGATGCCTTCTTTCTGAGTGCCTTTAGCTACACGTGGGCCTAAAGGGCAGGTAGGGAGGCGGCCACAGCTTGTAGCTCAGCGTTCCCCCTGCATACCAGCACTGCCCTTTCCCATTGCTTCTGAAGGATGACCAGAGAAGTAGAGGACTTGCTTTCCACTCACAGCATGCCACTGCTTTTTTACGGTAGCCATGTTGCTGCATTTGCTTACTACTACACTGATTATCAAGTCCTGTTGATTCCTCCTGCTGCCTGCTGAGCGCTCTTTGCAGGACAGCTTGCACTGACACCTTAATCTCCTTGGTTAGAGCATATGGCAGCGCACAGCATATAGCAGAAGCACTCTCTGTCACACCAGGATGGCTTGTATGGCACCCACGCTAGGAGCTGTGCAGCTTTCATTTGCCTCTGTGCTCTGGACTAACCTGTACGATTGTCTTTTCTTCCCATTCATTCCTCATCTCCTGTTTCCTGACATTAATTAATACACCAAATAAACTCCTGGGCAGGAAGATGTGCCAGTGCCAAGAAATCTGTAACGTCTCTGTTTCTGGTGATTAACACTTCAGCTTGCTCCTGCTGACCCTGCTCTAGCAGGGGTTGGACTAGATGACCCCAGAGGTCCCTTCCTCCTCAGCTGTTCTGTGCTCACTGATCCGTCACTCATGTCTCACACACAGCTTTGCAAGTGTTTGCTGCCTGGTGGCAATACAGACCTGTCACCCAGAATGGCCGGTGTGGAAAACTGTGGCATCTGGCTTGGCAGTGCGTGTGTGTGCTTGCTTAGCACAGCTGTGGTGCCTGGACCAAACATCTGTATTGCCCCTTGCCTGCTCTCCTAGCAGCTGAAAGCAGATGCTTCAAAAAGAGCTGGGTGAGTGCGCACTGCTCTGGACTTTACACATCTCCTGGCTCGGGCAGTCTGCTGTCAGAGCTTCCAGCACTTTCCACAGATGCTTGTTGAATCCTGTGTTGTGACCGGCCTCAAATGAAAGCTCTGTGGGGTCTTAGTTCCACTTGTTATCCAGTTCCTCTGTCTTCATGGCTCTCCAGGAGCTGAGGCTGCAGTCCCTCTGCTTCCTGGTGCAGGCAGGATGGTGTTGCTGCCCCACGTGTGTTGGGATCAGTTTGGCTGGACAGAGCAGCACAGGAACACAGCGACATGTGGTTGTGTTGAGGGTGTGGGAGAAGAATGCTTGCTGAGTGGACAGAAGTGACTCTGCATGTTGTAAGTGGGTCACTTGAGAGTGTCCCACGCCTGTTACGCAAGCAGGGACGTACTTATGCTGTAGCCGACAGCCACCTGCTCCCTTTGCTTTTTGGCTGGTACTGCAGCTCCAGCTCTGCAGGCTTCTTATTTTAGGTCTAATTTTATTTCTTCATCTCTTAGCCAGTCATTCTTCACATTTCCTGGTAACCCGCTTTCTTCTGCCTATAAATGACTTGCCAAAGCTTGTCCCAGTCCTATTTTCACCCAAGCTGTACTTTTTTTCTTTTCTGATAGAAGAAGCTTTTTGCAAGTTGCTCTGTTTCCCTTCCCCTCCAGCCTTTGTTTCCTCGTGTTTGTGCTGGAAGATGTTTGCTCAGTAGCAGGCTTTTTTCTCAGCAGCTTTTCATTGTTCTGTCCTTGATCCCAGTGTGCCATGCCCCAAGTCAGCAGGCTCAGCCTGTCCAAGGTGCTCAGTAAGGCATGTTGTGGTTCTCATAATGCCATTCTTGTCCACTACCTACCTACTCATTCACCAACGCTCAGTAAAGGGCAAACCACTATTTTCTCCAGAGAAAGGTCTGGCAAAACCAATAGTCCACGGGACCACGTCACTGTTTATCCCTTAAGTCACTGCAGCCAGTTCATGTTTCTCTGGGGCTTTTCCTCTTGGGTCTTTTCTCTTAATCTGCAGGTCAGTAGCATGTCCTACTTCTCAGGATTCATATATTTCTGTCAGCCAGGCTCTGCTCACTCCTTGCCTTCCCCAGGGAAGAGTGGCCACTTCCCATGTGGATAAGAATAAGAATCACAAAGAGGCTTGGTTGGAAGGAACTTTGAAGTCCCTCTGAGTTCAGTCCCTGCCATGTGTAGGGCTGCCCCCCACCAGCTCAGGCTGCCCAGGGCTCCATCCAACCTGGCCTTCAGCACCTCCAGGAATGGGGCACCTACAGCTTCTCTGGGCACCCTGTACCAGAACCTCACTGCCCTCTGAGTGAAAAAATTTCTCCTCATCTAACCTAAATCTCTCCTCTTCTATTTTAAAGCTATTCTTCCTTGTCCTATTGCTATCAGACCACGTAAAAAGTTGGTCTTCTTCCTGCTTTTGAGCTCCTTGCTCTTCTCCAGGCTGAAGAAGCCCAGATCCCTGAATCTTTCCTCACAGTAGAGGTGCTCCAGCCTTCTGAGCATTCTCATGCCCTCCTCTGGACCACTCCAACAGCTCCACATCTTTCTTGTGTGGGGGCCCCAGACCTGGATGCAGTACTCCAAATGAGGCCTCGTGAGGGCAGAGCAGAAGGCGACTATCACCCCTTAGCCCTGCTGCCACCCCTTTGTTGATGGAATTGTGTGCTGTGCTGTCAGCCAGCAGTAACGGGCCATGTCCTGCTCTCTCTCCAGCCTGCGAAGCTGCTGCCCCTGCTATGATGCCCGGGCAGATCCCCGACCCGTCCCTGACGGCCGGAGCACTGCCAGGGCTCGGCCCTTTGACAGGACTGCCTGGCACCGCCCTGACAGCCGAGGAGCTGAAGTACGCCGACATCCGCAACATTGGGGCCATGATCTCACCACTCCACTTCCTGGAGGTGAAGCTTGGGAAGAGACCCCAACCTGTGAAAAGCGAGGTGAGTCCAAAGGCTGCTATCCGGGAGCTGGTGCATTGCTTTCCTCACATCTCTGGTGGACATGAGCCCTTGGTGCTGCACAGCATCTTTCTTGTGTTCTCGGCTCATGCTTTAGCTGGCTTCTCGATCCTCACTGCTGTTGAGTGTTTGCATCTCCCAATGCCTGCAAACAGAAATCCCTCATTTTGAGGCCCTAGTCTGCTACTTCTTTAGCAGCTTTTGATCTGCAATAGCCAGAGAAGCCCTGCAGCTGGCTGGGAACGTGTTAGCACTGGAAAAGGATGTGGTTAGGATGCAGATGCAGGCCTGATACCTATAGTAAAGCAGCACTTGTGGTAAAGCTGTGCCTGATGTCATACACCAAACAGTGCAATACTCACATGGCTGTATGTGCTGTGGAGCAAAGAGAGTCTTTAGGCTGTGTGCTGCCCTCCAATGGCACAGCTCCTTCCCTCTGGGGCACCTCAGAGCTGGCCGTACAGCAGCTGCTTGCCCTCAGTACCTGGGGATGGGCATGCAGTCCCACCAGCTCTGCATAACAGCACTGAATGTGCTCTAAGTTGCTTGCCTCTGTGTGGAGGAAAGACGAGGAGAAATCCACTGACAGCCCCTGGACTTCCACTTTGCAGCCTCCTCCTCTCCTGCATGGCCTGTGAAGCCAAGGAGTCGAGGACGGCAAATGGAGCGTCCCTGGCACGGGCTTTGCAGCAAAAGCCTAAAGAGCTGAAGCAGTGGCTGCTTATTCCATGAGTAGCCAAGAAGCAACCCACGCATAGTTTTGCAATGCAGCCTACAGCTGCTTTCCTCTTGTAGGGAGTGGGAGCCCAAATAGTCTGGGCACCTGCCCTACCCTATGCAGGGAGGACAGACAGCTTTCTCTTCTGTGCTGTGGGCAGCAGCATCCTCTGGCATGGGGTGTCTGTCTGTGGCAGAGCCTGCAGAGCTCTCCCATTGAGTGCTGGGCACTGATGTGGGGGAGGTGGGGACCCTTGCTGGCAGCCTGTGCTCCTCCTGGGGCAGCTGGAAAAAGGTGCTGCCAGGCTCTTCTGCCTCCAGAACCCTCACAGGATGTGTTCCCTGGGCCAGAGGCAGCAGTCTTGCCTCTCACATTGATGCCAGCCCCTGTCCTGGATGCCACTGGCTGGAGCAATTCAGGAGGCAACACAAAACCTCCTACCAACAGGGCTCACCTGCAGATTGATTGCTGCAGCATGTTATGGGGGATTGATGCACCATTATCTTCCCTTGTGCCTCTAACTGAGCTGAGTTCTAACACCAGGGCCACGTCACCATTTTGAGCTGAAACAGAGGTTTCAAAAGGAAAGAAGGCGGCTTTCTTGAAGTCACAGGACTTGTGGGCAAGAAAAAGCAGAGTCAAGCGTTCAAGTTCTGTTATCCCTGTGGGCCCTATCTAAGGGACATGGCCCTTTGCTGGTGCTTTGTGAGGTACTGGGGAAGCTGAAGGGGACAGAGGAATCGGTTGACTGCTACTGAACAGACCAACTGGTATGGAAATGTAGGCATTTCCAGAGAGAGTGAGGGTTGCACTGTTATAGGGCTTTCCTGGTCTTTTCTTCCAGTGCCATCGCTGGCCTTTGGTGTGCAGATCCCTCCCTGGTTCTCCCAAGTGTAGTGTGGAAGATCCCACGCACTTCTGTGGCAGAGGAGTGATTGCAGCCCGATGCTGTGGGAAATCTGTGCAGTTTGTACTGACTTTGCATATTATTTTTCTCTGTCTAACACTGCACATTTGGTATTAGGTTTGGGAACTAAGGTACAGCAGATGCAAAAAGTGTTAGTGCTATGAAACTTGGGCACTGTCTTCTGAACATTAGACATGCAGCTTACTTAATTCTGCCCAGACAGTGTTTCATCCCATCCTTGCATGTCACGTTGAAATATTCTGATTAGTGGAACTCGGACTACAAGAATGTTAGCAGCTTGCCTGGATTAGACGATGGCCCTTGCAGCCTTCGTTTCCTGCATCAGTGTATCTTTTCTGGGACACCTTGGCACCTTTCACCATCACTTTGTGGCCTTTGTACTGGAGATCTACAGCTCCATTTGAGGTCCCTAAGCCCAAGAGTGAGCAATTAGGCTGCTCAAATGGTGTGTGCTGTGAAAGGCTCCACTAGGAGATAGCTTCTAAACAAACTCACCTGGGGAGTACTAGAGAAAAGAGGATGCTGCCTTGTCAAACTGGAGTTGCCTAACAGAACATGCAAGTAGGCTATAGAAGTGATAGTAAATGTTTCTGCTGCTATATTTGAAAAGATTATGCTGTGGGATGTCACTTGGTAGGAACGAGGCAGCACATTCTGAAATCTCAAATTTCAGAGTCCCAGGCCAAATGTGGATGATTATTGTTTGTGGGTCTTTAATGACAACAGTGTCTTTTTCTCCTATATCTGTGTCCCGAAGTGCCACAGGATGCTGAATTTGAAGGACTTTTTGACACACAGAGTCTTCTTGAGAAAGAGTTGGTTTGAGTCCTTGGGTGTAAGCATGCCATAGGCCACTTACACAGGGTTTGTAGTGAAAATCCATAAGTATTTTGATTATGGGTTTTCAACTCATAGGGCTTATTAGCCTGGTCTGAGTGGTTTGAATCAGATTACACTGAGCAACTGAGTAATGGCAGTCAGCGCTGCCGTGCCCTGCTTCCTTAGCAGGGATGCAGCATCTGTCCCTAGCTTGCTGAAGTGGCACAGTGACTTGACCAGCACTGAGGATAGAGCACTGGAAGTGCACTGGAAGTGGGCAGCAAACAGGCTCAGCTGGGAAGCTCTTCCAGGTGTCTTTGCATCCTGCCCGTACGTATGTGTTTGATGCTTGGAATACTCAGAATGGTGCCTCTAGATGTCTGTATTTGACAAGCTATGCTGTTCTGGCAGCAACGTACTTTGTTACTGGTGAGGATGGGACCATGTTGCTGGTGAGAGTAGTGTCAGGGCTGCTAGGGGCTCCCAGCATCCTGCCATGCCCCTCTTGATGCTCTGACCTGGACTTGTGCGTCTCATTGCAGCTTGATGAGGAAGAGGAGAGGAGGAAAAGGCGCCGGGAGAAAAACAAAGTAGCAGCAGCGCGATGTCGTAACAAGAAGAAGGAGAGGACGGAGTTCCTGCAGCGGGTGGGTGCCCTGACCTGGAGGTGGGCTTGGAGCCGAGGGCTCTGATATCTCTTTGTGCTGGAGCAGGAGCACTGTGTGAGCGTGGCACAGGACGGCTGGATGCCTGCTGGCCCCCTGCCCAAATTCCAGGAGGTTTCCTCATTCAGAGGCCAGATGCCCTCTGGTGGTGGCATTTAGGTTGGATGTCATGGGGAAGTTCTTTAGAGAGAGTGGTGAGGTGCTGGAACAGGCTGCCCAGACGGGTTGTGGATGCCCCATGAACACACTAGAGGTGTTCAAGGCCAGACTGGATGGGGCCTTGGACAGCCCGGTCTAGTATTAAATGGGGAGGTTGGTGGCCTTGCATGTGGCAGGGGGGAGATCATGATCCTTGAGGTCCCTTCCAACCCTGGCCGTTCTGTGATTCTGTGGCATCAAGACAAAAACCAATTCTAGTGCCTTGCTTTTTGGTAAGGGCTGGTGGGATACTGGCAAACAACACGGCTGTATCATTTCACAAGGGCAGGTCCTTGCAGACAGAGAGACAAACCTTTTAAAATTTGAAAATGCAGGTTCATTTCCCAACATCTTCGCAGCCTGTGGAAAGCAACCAGGCGTGGGGCTGCTGTAGTGCAGCAGAGCCCTGTCCGAGGAGAGAGCTCTATTTCCTTAACCTGACACAAGGTAATGGATTGGGAAGGAGCTGCTTGGAGAAGCCCGATGTCTTGGCATGTCTTCAGGCTGCTCCTTTACAGCAAGGGTCGAGTAGTGGTGGCTTGTTAGCCAAGTATTTCTCTTTGCACCTTGTCCTCATGGAGCAGTCACATGTGGTTGTGTTTCTGCCATGTCAGGAGTCTGAGCGCCTGGAGCTCATGAACGCTGAACTGAAGGCCCAGATAGAAGAGCTGAAACAAGAGAGGCAGCAGCTGATCCTGATGCTGAACCGGCACCGTCCCACCTGCATCGTTCGGACAGACAGCATCAAGACTCCCGAGAGTGAAGCCAACCCGCTGCTGGAGCAGCTGGAGAAGAAGTGAAGGTGGCACTGGAGGAGGAGACCGGCACGGGGTCTTCCGGAGTCGCTAATGTATGTATCGTATGAAGAACTGTGCACCGAGGCCTGGTGCATCCAGGACCCGATGGGCTTCCTTGGGAACTATGGACCAAAAAAAATTTGGGGACAGAGAAGATTGGGAATCTGTCAAACGTCAACTCTGTGGCTGAACCCGGGAGCAGGGCTGGTGGCGCGGGCGAAGGCAACCTCTGTGTGATACCTCATCACAGCCCTTCAGCCTGTTTGCGGCCCTGGGGACCCACGGCGCACAGAGAAGGAGGGGGCGGGAGAAGACCTCCCACTCGGCCCTCTTCCCCACAGCCCTCAGAGTGCCCGTGGGGCGCAGGGACGTGGCCTGCCGGAGCCATCCCCACAGGCTGCCGCCGCACCCGGCGCACACTCGGCACGGAACCCAGCTGCAGAACCGCAGACACTTGACGCGCCCCGTCCGGTGGCAGGCCCGTCGGGGCCCGGTGGCGCAGGCGCCCCCCACAAGCACACTCTCAGTATAATGTTTACAGCCCAGCTGTCCGTGTCGGCCGTGCTTTTGAATGCACATTTTTACACTTTTTTTAAAGATATTTTTTACAAAGTTTTTATACGGCGATCTCTATATGGATTTATATAATCACTAGATGTGATCCCATAGAAACGTATGTTACGATGGTCTGTTTGTTACAAACGCATATGCCGCAGTTATCTCCACTGTGTTACCTGTCTGGCAGTGGGCTCCTTCCCAGCGCTCTGGGATGGAGGCCCAGCAGCACTCTGCAGTGCTGCCGCTGCCGCCTCCATCCATGTATGTCCTTCATAATATTCAGTTCTGTATCTCCCAGTAAATGTTACCTTTATGTACTTCGCCCTCCTGTACTCTGTCTGGATCGATCTGTGGTGGGCTTTGGATGGAGCTCAGCCCCATGATGGCAACCATGGGGTTTCTGACTGTGCTGGCCATGCGGGAGGCTGATCCCAGAGCTGTTTTGGCGTTAGCTGTATTGAGGGCATTCATCTAGGGAAGCTGAGAACGTCAGAGGTGGCTCTGACGGCTGTTAGTCAAGCAGTAGCCCGGTGCTGTATCTTAATGGACAGGCAGGACATGATTTGCAGGCAGGAAATGCAAAGGTGGGAGATGTGGGAGATGATCTCATCCTTGCTTCTTCCTAGGTTCAGCACAAGTGCCACAGCTTGAGCCCCTTTAAGGAAGACAGAGAGGAAGGGGAGCTGTCGCAGCCTCAGAATGGTGGTGATCCCTTTGGGAAAGAGGGTAGGATATAGGTCCTGTGGGCCTCCGCTGGCTCCCAGCTTTCTGAGAAGGCTGAGCCCTGCCAGTGCTGAGCACAGAGATGTGCAGGATAGAAGGTAAACAGCCAAGTGGCACTCAGGTTCTAAGACAAAAGGGCTCAGTGAAACTGAAGGATTTTTTGGTATCCTCAGGTGTATAACCAATGCCTGTCACTATGTAGGTGTGTTTCTGAGTCTTACAAAGGCAGTGGGAAGTCACCTTGTGGGCAAGGCAAGCTTCATCTCACTCATGGAACACCACTGAGTGGTGGTGTCCTGCATGTTTCTCAGAGGAACCATGGTGAACCCTATCTTCTCCCAGTTCCTTTACCAGTGTGGATGAGGAGACTGATGCAAACTGTGAGCTCTGGTACCCAGTAATGCTGAAGTACTGTTGGGGACAGGATAAGTTTGCCCTAAATGTGGTAAGAGCCCTGGAGGTGGCCTTTTCTGAGCATAACTTCTTCTCTGGTGCACATTTATTTCTCTGCAGACTCCTTTTCCATCTCCAGTGCAGTGGAGTGCACTAGAGTGTCAGTATGCAGTGTCTCATATTAGCCCCTTCTCTGTTTGTTTCTGGATTTCCCCTCCCTTTCTATAACTTCTGTCTCTGGGACCTCCCAGAATTCTGTCAGCTGCCTTATTTAGTATAAGGTATGTTGGATCTGGTACAGGCAGTTTTTGCCACAGGAGGATTTGCTGGCTGAGGTGTGCTAGAGGGACGTGCAAGGAAGGGATCTGGAACAAAGCTGGTGAAGAAAGGCAGTGTGTGGCCTGGCTCCCGCTGCAGCTGGACGGCTCTGCTCCACGCTTCATTCTGCCCTGCAGCAGTGGCTGAGGCCTGACCCTATTCTCACAATGATCCAATGTTGGCACTTCTAAGGAATGCAATGGCTCTCACCGAGCTGTGCTGAAAGAGGTTGCAGAACATTTTCTAGTCCTGCTTCTCTCTTCAGGACTTTATTTTTCCCTGCAGAGCATTGAAGGTAATGAATGTCCAGGCTCTTCCATGTATCAGTTTCCTCTTTCCTGGTGAGAGCAAGCTTCTTGTGGGACCTCAGATGGCTCAACCACAGTCATCGCATACTTCTTGCTTGCCTGGACAGCCCTCGTGCTCATCCTTACATGGAGGGCCTGTGTGAATGCCACGCACCTTTGCCCTGTGCATTGCCGTGAGTGCAGGCAATGGATGGCCCTTCTCTGGCCAACAGCCGTGCTGCACTGAAGCTTCCTGCTATGAAAACAGTTGGCTTGAAAGGGAAATACTAGATGTCCTTTGAAACCAAGCACACTGGCAGGAGACAGCAAAGGCAGCAGCAGTGGAGTGGTGCTGGTTTAATGTGCAGCACCTCCTCCCAAGGCTCAGGCAGAAGCATTCTGAGCCCCAGCAGTGCCAAGACAGGATGTGCCTGTTTCCTGTATGTCTTCAGAGCAGCCTTTTGCTGCACTCTGGTCAGTGCTGAAGAGATTGCCCCTCGGTTTAAGGCATTGTTTTTCCAGAGCACTTGGTTGGACTGCAGCCCAGTGGTGCATTAGAGTGCTATCTCCTGGGGATGTGCAGAAGCACGAGCATGTTCCAGGTGTGAGCCCACCAGGCCCATAGTGTTGCATCTGAGTCCAGCTCTTATTCACCTTCCAGCGCTGGGCCAGCCTGCTCCTTGCTCTGAGCCAGCCCAAAGCACGGTGGCGGAGTCATCTTTCCACTAGAGTCCCACGGGAAGGTTGATGATGGGGGATTTCACTTCAGAAAGATGCAGGCTGCTTCCCACCTGGCACCCAGCTCGCTGCCCACCCGGCGCACCAATGGTACCCTGAGCCCGGTGCTGCCAGGGGCCGCCAGCAGGAGGGGCTGCACAGCCGTGGGAGAGCCGAGGCCCATCGGGGACCCACGGGCTTCTGTCCATTTCCATCTTTGGGGAGAGCCTCATCGGCTGCTAATTTTCTTGGGGTGATTCCATGACGCTGCGATGAGCGGTGTCAGCTAACCTTTGGCAATGACCCACTCTTGTTTCCTTTTGAGCCGAGGCCAGCAGGTATTCACTTACCTTTGTTTTTATTGGTTCTTCTACTTATCTGGCTGGAAAACAACCCCTAGAAATCCCCAGCCTTGATATTTACCCAGAGACACGGAAACTGGTTCACGTGGTGCTGGTCTGCTCTGAGTGATGCCAGCGCAGCCCACAGCTGAAGTGGGGCCACCAGCATGGCATGGCTGCAGGGATTGAGAGAGTTCACCCGCTGCTTCTTCCAGCCTGGAGACAGAGCCTGGAGGCGAGGGTACAGGCTCAGAACTGCAAGAAGAAGCACCCAGCGTGTGCTCGGTGCTACTTCCAAAGCCCCATGTGGCTCGAAGCAAGAGCAGAGTTTGGGTATGTGTGACAGTGAGGTTTCGCTGCCGCCTGTCACGTCTTAGATGAAGCTTCAGGAACAGGATCCTTTGCCAGTAACCACCACCTTGAGCTGATGTTATCTAGTTTCTGCAGAATGAACTTGCTGAGCTGTCATCTGTATCGCTGTTGGGGGAAGTCCTGACTCCTGACGCTGCAGTTCCTGTGGCAGCTTCACCAGTGCCCTGATTCCAGCAGCACCGCCGGCTGAGGAGGATCTGCTGGAAACCTGCGGCCCAGCAAGGCTGAGCCTGCCAGGAGGAGGTGGGCGGTGAGGCTTTGTGCCTGCCCTAGTGCTGGTGGGGCCTCCAGGCAGGCCAGCGTGTGCCTTTTGGTCGCTGCTGGCAGCACACTGTGCAGTGCTGCTGAGTGCCATAGCCCTGTGGCCAAGGCAGTGTGCTGGAGGGGGGATGTGGGCATCAGCAGGTGCCTCTCAGCCGCTGGGGTCTGCCATACAGGCACACCCTGTGGGTGCCAGGAAGAGTCACTGCTGCACTTCCATAGATATCTGCTAGAGGAGACATCTCTCCTTTCTGATGGAGATCTTCCTCCTTAGCAATGTGACCTTGACGCACTTATCACTTTCAGCCTGCAGATGTTGGTTGTGTAGCAAGCTGAGGTACCAGCGAGGCATTGGCTGGGCCTCTCACAGCAGGGCAGCTGAAATATGGCTTTCTGCAGCCACTCTGCTACCAGTTGATGCCATCAGGTCTCTGGCTGATGTGAACCAGGTTTTAGGAGCAGCATGGAGTGCCAGAGTGCCCTGCCTGCTGGGTCTCGCTGCCTGCACAGAGCCAAGTGCATGGGCATCTCCCTGCCTGATGGCCACCACATGCCAGGGCTGCTGCACCTCGTTGTTGCTTCTCACCACATTTCAGAACATGGCCAAGCACTGGCTGTCAGCCACGCAGCACGGTGAGGGTGCAAATGGGTTCAAAGCCGTGCTCAAACTGGGAGTGCCCATCTGGTGTATCCAGCCTCTGTGCAGCAGTGGGGAAAGAGGGATGGAGCCTAGGGAATGGGAATGGTTCATCTTGTAACAGTATAGATGGCTGTGGGACATCTTGCTTTGTGTGTTGTGTCACTTCTACTTGCCCCACTGTGAAAATGGGGGACGTCCAAAGATGGGCACTGACCTCAATCTGTGGCATAGGAAAATTTCCCTATGTGGAGACTAAAAGTCCCAGTAATTTAGAGCGGAAACTAATGAAATGCCGCATGATAGAGATGTGTAGAGCAATGCCTGGCTTAGAGATAAGTCTGTTCCCCTGCTCACCCCCTCACAAGATGTTCAAAGAAATGGAAAGACAACTCATTTCAAACTGGTAAACTGACACACTTTTCAGAGCAGCTAATTGCTTTGTGCAAGTGGACAAGGTGTCCGCTGGCATCAGAGAGCACTGAGGATACGGTACTCATGAAAAATGAGGATGCCCAAACTCAGGTCCAAGGGTTTGGATTAAAAAAAATTAGGAAATGGCTTGGCTCTTGGACACATGCTTTGGGATTCAGATGAAGGGGTGAGGGAAGGAGATTCTGCCTTTCTCTGTCCCCTCTTTGAAACTACGTTGGGAGCTGTCAGCAACAGCAGGAGCTCCTCATGCTGGGGCTGAGGCTGCAGCCCCTCTCCCTTGTCCCAACTCCCAGGCACTGCTGGCCACAAGAGAAAAGGGGAGGGGGGGTGGAAATGGTGAAATCGTGAAGAAATAAGGGAGAAAGTGAAGAAGCTGCTGTTGGGATGGGAGTGCGCTTGGAGCAGTCCTGCTGTTCTGCCATTCCTGCTGAGAAGGGCATCTTGGAGTCTACTTGCTGCAAGAACATGCCCCAAACATATTGTGCCCTGTTCTTGGGAGGGGCGGACAGATGGTGAGGGTGAGCTTGAAAGGAGTCAAGTCAATTTAGGAGACAAGCAATGTGTTTGCCCCTGTGCCCCACACCCCAGGGCACGGCAAAAGTGCCAGCGAGGATCAGACTCTGTCAAGCTGCAGCCATCACTTGGAGTAAAATGGTTGATGCTCATTTGGACCCACTGCGACATTAGCGTGGGCCTGAGGTGTGTGGGGCTGCACAGCCACGCACCGTTCCTACCTCATGGTCTGGAAATACATGAAGGAAGCTGGGGCTGCAGCCCCCTGCAAGCACCGGTAACCCTGGGTGGATCAGCCGCTCTGGTTAAACGGGTCGCTG